TACCTGGGTGACTAATTCGGGGCTCAAGCCTCAGAGTAAGTCTAATGGTCATTTCTTTGCTACATAGACCACGTCTCTTGTAAACCTACTGTCAGAAAACTAGCTCAAATCGCTGTCTCGTCTATCCTGTCTTTATCCCCAATACCAGGTCTATGACTTGCCATGTCCTAGTCGCTTGTGTGAGACTAATGAGAAAGATCTAATTAACAGGAGACTTGAAGAAGGCAGGATTAGCGAAAACTTTGCATATTGCCTAAACAAACTCAGAGAAGACCAGGCAAAAGTAAGATCAGCAAAAAGAAGACGACTGGATCAAGGTAATATCCTTAATTTTAGGAAAGGAGATCGTAGGGGATGAGAAAGCAACAATCAGAAGCAGAGAAGACGTCTTCAGTGAGCCTGATCAAAACAAGTAGAACCACAACATTTGTTGGTTGGCATACAAGAGATGGACATGGTATTACAGATAGAAACATGAAAGACTAAAGATATTTGGCTAATAATAGACGTGTTTGATCAGAAACATGATCCTTGAATCACGACTATTGTTAGCCAACTAGCTCTAGCTTCCACTATTTCTATCCTCTTTCTATCTATAATACCAAGTCTATGACTTCCTATGCCCTAGTCTCTTGTGTGTCAACCCACAAACGTTGTCGTTCAATAGTGAACCTAATCAAAGCCAGGAGTACCACAACATTTGTGGGTAGACACACAAGCAACTGGGTCATGGGAAGTGATAGACTTGATATTAGAGATATAGACAGGATAGACGGGGCGGCGATTGGAGCTAGTTGGCTGACAGTATGTTTTACAAGAGACCTGGTGCATGTAGCAAAGGCATGACCATGAGACTTACTCTGAGGCTTTAGCGTCTAATCAATCACCCAGGTGCAGGGGATGGACGAATTACGTTGCAAAAACAAGGTCAAACAACTTCTAAACATGATTAAATTGATGTATTTAGAATCACGTCTTATGTAAAGTTTGGACTGATTTAGGGAAATCCAGAGAAAGGAAGGAAATTTGGCCTTCTTTTGACAGAACAAGATAGGCCGTGGCAAATACCGAATCAGATCAGAAACTTTCGCTAAACAGATTACTGACGTGAAGGAGTGGATAAACTGTGTTGCCATGTCGTCTTAAGTTTACATTTTCATATAAGTGTGATAAAAGTTTCGTTCAGAGCAGAAAATTGTAATTCCTTCGCAAGAAATTACAAACTCCCTTCCTTGCCAGCAAAAGTTATCTGGTTGAAAGCAGAGGCTTTAGACAAGGATTCAGCAGATTTTAACTGGGCTAACTTTTCACTGCTATTAAATAAAACATTCTAAACATAGAGGTTGTTTTTGCAACTTGGTCATATTGGTAGGAAGACTTAGAGGAATTCACCTCGTCTCCCCAAGCGCAGAAGATAGCGAATAACGCCTCGAGCAGTACAGATATCGGTGGCAGATTTCGAGTGGAATAGGTGAACCAGGGAGAGAGCAGACAGATCTTACAGGACAAGAAAGAGAAAGCGATAAAGCCTAGGGAAGGAGGACGGCGTAAAAATATGGCACACTTTGATCAATATACCTAGCACAAGGGTGAATGAGGGGTTAGAACGCCAGCGTGGAGTGTGAAAGGTTTTCATGAATGCCGCTCAA